GTATTTTATATAGTAATTAATAGATTATATACTAATTCAAATGAACAAACGTTTTAAAACCAATAGACTATAAAATGATAAGATATTCTACTTTTACATCGTTCCCTATAGCAAACGATGATTTTTCTCGTCATCTCGTCCAAGTGTTTTGATAATTTTCAGAAATCTCCTTTAAACACCCTCCATCAGATTTAATTGGTATAGGAAATATATCGTTACAAAATATACGTAATTAAGGTTACACACATGTTTGAGTATTGTGTAAGCTTAACAATATTTTCTTCAAAAAGCAACAGGAGTCTGTGTCCACTATTTAGCATTGCTATCCGTGTACATAAGTATAGCTTGAAAGATAATCGTAAATTAAACTGTCACATGGCATATAAATATTTCTAACAAAAAATAATGTACACTTCTCATTATACACAGTTTGTTTCCAAAGTGATTACATTATGAATGAAGTTAAACAATTTTACAACCCATCACGATCAATTTCAAGAATGAGGGGAAAAAAACACAGGCATTGAACATTGAGACGCAGCAAGCTCAATGATATCGCGCATACATCTAAAGTATAGACAACGTCATGGACACGTGGCTCACGTGCATCACGTAAGAATGCACATAATGTAGTAATTGTACATCTAACAATAAATACGAAACATTGCTTGTCAAGTTGCAATTGGGTCTTTTACAATTTGCAATTGTATGTAATTACAACGCAAACGCGATAATTTCAGTTTCTAGTTAATTTTGACACTTATGTCTCTATTTACGAAGTTACTATACGTTGGTAAATATTGCACGTAAACACAGTAGAGTGTCCATATTTAACAAAATATATGTAAGTTTTGTAAAATGAGGCGAATAAATAATGATAACTAGTATGAATAATTCTAGAGTGTTAGTATCGCTGGTATCAAATTCAAGGCAGTGTAAAAGAAAATACACTTCGACGATATTATTATACGTGTTGCCGTTGGTGTGAATGCGATATCTATACGTGCGAGTGTGTACGTGCACTCACATCTATATCTAGATAAGAACGAATCCGAAAGTTGAGACATTGAGAATAAACGCGTAGATGTTCCCTCGATTATGTCTGGCATAAAAAAAGATTGAAACATCAACGCGATATCGTGAGGAAATTGTAACATGATTGTCGTCGCAAGTGTGATCGATATTTGTGTTGATGCACATTAAAGGAAGGTGATGTTTACGAATCAACTGATTATCGAACCAGTTCGTTTCAACCATGAGCGCTAAACACAGCCCGAGGAAAATAACATTAGCCATGATAAAAGGTGAGACTAATTTAGATAAATAGGTAAGACCCGATAAATAAGTATCTATTTTACAGAGTTAACGTAAATAGCGATATGACAAAAGGTACTTGATCGATCGTTTGTTTCTCTTTCGGCAAGGTAAACCTATTGCAACTTCAGTTCCTGTAATTCATTACCATGCTAGCGACGATGAATTGGAAGAGATATATCCTAGCACAGACGAGGAGAAGCGATTGACACCCGAGTGCGAAAAGATTTCGTCTAAAGTCACCTCTAGTCCGTCGAGGTGCATCCACGAGTCGGACATCTCTGAGAATAACTCGGAAACGCGATCTGTCAGTTCGGAGAACATTTTGCTGGAAGGTACGCCGCCGTCTCTGGACCCGTGGAAAGTATTCTCTGACATCAAAGGGAAAATCACCAAGACGTTCGAGGAGAAACTATCTGAAATAAAAAGCGATAAGAGGAAACGACGTAATTCCAAGGCAGAAAGTTCAAGCATCAGTGATTTAGAGGATCAGGGATGCGTCACACCCGGTGATGAAAAGGCAGATGATACTCGTAAGAGAGGCAATGCAACCAGATATGTAGGTTTCTCCGAAGTAAAAACCGGCCTGAAAGACAAAAGTTTACAGGATGAGTCTGTGGAGAGTGGCATTGAAGCTTCTGAATTTTCGCAAAATGTCAGTGAAGATGTTGCCTCTTTGACGAATGATCTATCAAATTCAGAGCCACCTTGTAACAATAACAATTATACCGTCTTTCCACAACAGAGTTATACGTACTCGGTGGCATTTTCAAAGAAAATAGACTTTAAGACTGTATTTTTACAGTTGATTAAGCAGTTAATTTGTCAAGCAACGTATAAATCTATTGCTGCTTTCATTGCCATTTCCTGCATTTATTATATTATTCCATTAGCAGAGTATTTACTGGGATTTATGATGGGTGTCTTTGTGACTGTTATGTTCTATGATGTTGTAACAAAACTCAAAAAGATTTTAACCACTATGCCAGATAAGGGATGTCTTCCTAGTCTACCAATACCTATTTTAGAGATCCCAGCTGTGGAGGAACATGCTGTGGTTGAAAGATATCAAGGTTGGTTAAATGAATTGCCTTATAAGTATGAACCGAATAATTATCATGTGGCACGCACAAAGTCAGTTTTCTTTAGATTGGAGGGAAATATTTTGCGTATTATGGAAACCAGGATGAAAATACCAAAGAAAGCTGTCTGGGACGAGCCAAAACATAAATTGAAATTCGTTAAAAAAAGGGTTTATAATTTAACTGAAGCAAAGATAGAACTTCTTCCCTGTGGGCTTACCAAAAGAAGAAGATGGAGTAAAAAATATCCAGTTTGTATAACCCTTGAAAAGAAAGCGTTAATTTGTAATGTAATCCTGAAGAGTACAACCAATGATGAATGTTCGATAAATAGTTATCATAAGGTGGACCTAAAAGAAAAAGTCAAATGTAAATCCAATAAAAAATATACAAAAAAGTTAGATGGAGAAATACAAGATGAAAATGAAATTTTACTTGTCAATATAGAACATGAGGAACCAATTGTAAGACAAGAAATCTGCGAGTTTGTAGAAATAGAAGATACAGATGAAGACGACGACGACAATAAAAATTACGATTATGATTCAGCTAGCGATTATTTTGACAACGAATGTGTAAAATATGAAGAATGTTTTGTAAATAGTAAAGAAACAGAGAAATATGAAGAAGAGAAGTTAAAGAAAAAGAAAAAAGATTATAAAGAACAACAGAAGGAGGAGGATAGAATAAAAAGAAACTTGAAGAAAAGTTACACTTGTACTATTAAAAAAAGAAAGAAACGAAAAGATATACCAAGTGAAATAAAAACTTGTAAAAAATCAGTCATAACAACATGGAATAAAAGAAAAGAAGACTGGGAAGAGAATGAGGAAGAAGAGGAGGAAGAAGAAGAAGAAACAGAGGAGGATGAGGAAGAGGAAGGCAAGAAAATAACAATGAAGGTAAACGTAGAAAAGGATAATGAGGAGAAAGAAAAAAGTGGACGGAAAGAAAGACAAGAATTAGAAAAATTAGAAGGAGAGGATGAGGAGGCAGCAACTGATAATTATGGCAGTTATTGTCATAATAGAGTATATAAAAAAAGAAAAAGAAACAGGAAGAATGAGGAGGAGGATGAGGAAGAGGAAGAAGAAGAGGAGGAGGAAGAGTTGGAAGAGGAAGATGAAAGAGAAGGAGAGGAGGATGAGGAAGAGGAGCAGTCTAACGATGATGAACAAAAAAATAAATTAAAAATATTTATTTTTGCTAGAACTGATCGTGAGAAAGAAGATTGGTACAGACGTTTAGTTTTAGCTGCATCTCGATCCGTTAAAAAGAATGATTCGCTACTGTTCACGATCGATGTATCGTCCAATATATCTAGCTCTCAATCATCGGTGCAACACAAAATCGTCAGCGCAGAATCAAAAAGCTCTTTTTCAGCTAACAATTCACACGAAACTGTACCTGAGCTTACTTATAATGCTTATATGGCAAAATACATGGATAATAATTGTTCGCCGATGTCAGAAGGTGCAATTTCCACGTCTGCTGAAAGTACACTTTGGATCAATTGTTTAATAGCTCGTATACTTTTTGACGTACGCAACTGTCCTGAAACTATACATCTTATACAGGATAAAATCCAACGCAAGTTATCCAATATAAAACTACCATATTTTATGGAGTGCCTTTTGGTTTCAGAGGTAACGATAGGACAAGGAGCTCCTGTTATTCATAGTGTAACAAAGCCAGTGATCAATGAAAGAGGTCTCTGGCTTGATTTAGATATAACATACAAAGGTTCTTTGACCATGACCGTTGAAACAAAATTGAATTTGATGAAATTAACAAGAACCGGATCGGTTCCTGATGATACGATTATTTCAACAAAAAAACCAAATGAGGTAGTCACTAGATCACCAATTTTTGACAGCGATGTGGAAGATACGCCAGAAACATCTACAGAGGACGATTGTGATAATTCTAAAACGCAATCGTACAATGTGGCCAAAGAAACAACGTACGTATCAATAGCAATATCATTTTATAACAAATTTATAATCAATTTAATCTATCTTATTTCTCTTTACTTTTTCTTTTACATTGTTTGTTTCTTGCAGATCTACGCAATCGTCAGGAAGGAAATTTCTCAGTATGGTTGATAAAATAGCTGCAAATAAATATTTTCAACATGTATGTTTTGTTCTTATAATTAATAATATTCAGATCGATATCTCTTGATACCTATTGATATATTTTTTGTATTTTTTGAATTGTCAGGCAACCGAGTTGTCCTATGTTCGAAGAGCTATGGAAGGTGTTTCAAATACAGAGATTCGATTGATGGTCACCGTTTCAAGTATTGAAGGTTGTTTATCATTAAACATTCCACCAGCACCGTCCGATCGTTTATGGTATGGTTTTAAACCCGTACCAAAAGTAAGTCTCACCGTAAAGCCTGCAGTTGGTGAGAGAACAGTTAATATCGTTTACATAACAAAATGGATTGAAACTAAGTTACTCAGGGAATTTGAAAAACTGGTTGTTTTACCAAATATGGACGATCTCATTTTACCGTTGTGTCCTAATTATCCTTATACAACAATGCGGTAGTCACATAAACAAAAAAGTATTGATTATCGTATCGTATTGTACATAATTCATTGATAAATGTATATCCGCATTTGATTCGTAATTGCAATGTAGATTCGACCAGCAAATGACAAATATATTATCGTTGCAAAATTTCGCGTGTGTACGCTTTTCGGATAGCATTGCTATCGCAACATATTCTTCTTGTATGCGCGTTATGATAAATTTCACATGGAGAAAGAAACATCTGTGACTATTCCAAAAGCAACGAACACGGATTACGAACAAATCTTTCAACGAAGAATTAAAAACAAATTGCAAACAATGACTGAAGTGTATTGTATTAAATGGTAATTAATTTTTGTTTTCTAAACATCGTTTCTTGAGCATCGAATGAATATATCAATTCGTAATTTTAAAATTTCACACAAATTTTCAATATATCAATTTTTGATCATTTTCTTGGGACCATGCATCGCGTTATTCCTTCGTTGTGGCAATGTGTAAAACTTGCATTGTGCAAAATAAAAAAGGACTTAATATGTAGAAGAAAATCCACGAGCTGCTGTTTTTTTATTTGTGATAATAGTGTCTCAACAACATCAATGATTATCTTGGAATTAATGGTATCGATGTTTGAAAAGTAACATGAACTCGATGTGAATTTGACAGTAAAAATAAAATGCTTATTATTTATAAGCATCACTATGATGCAGGATTGTAAATTGATCATTTCATAATCAAAATTACGAAATATAAGATGACTTAAACGCTATATTTATCCGTTTTAAGAAGCATAGCATAGTAATTGTAAATTGTTTCTACACTGCAATATACTGATATTTTGTGTGTGTACATATTATGATGTGACCGTTAAATCAACATTTAATGCAAGTGAACTTATACAAATTGAAATTTTAATCTTGTATGCAATTATAAGTCTAATATATGAAACAAGACCTAAGAGGTATGCGTGTGTGTATTCATAGTCGTTTGAATTTCTAGATTTTTAATTCTTTTATGACACACTAGATTAAAATCTCAAGTACACGTCTCATTTTTGATCATTGTTATAATTTTTCAAAGTCGCTTAGAACTAGGGATGAAAAGTTATAAGAGACAAGTCGAAACTGTTACTCATATTGCTAAAAAATTGTGTATTTCTCATTTCTCACGATAAAATTTCCACAGAACAATATCACAGTTTAGAGATCGATATTCATACAGCACAGAATAAGAAAATAAATTATTTACAGGCATTTCGTTAGAACTTGGAAGCGCTAACTTTGAAGAACACACGGTGCAGTTTCCAATTCCCGGACAGCCTTCGCCCAAGTTTCTATCCTTGGTGCGCAAACAAGAATAAGATCACCAAGTCTTCGTTTAGCCATTATCACAAACTCGCCTTGTCCATGACGTGCATCGCAGGCAGTTGGCACTCTTACACGAACATTTCTGCGATCATGGGTATCAGTAATATCTGCATCGTTGTTATTCTGTTTGAAAATGCATCAAAACGGACATTAATTCACAAAACATGAGCTTGTCAACGAATTTTATGATTTTAATATATCATACAGGCTACCACCATACGATAATTACATACCACCATAATTACATGAAAACATTATGATCTTCCTATGTAAAAAAAAAGATACAAGAAAGAGCTGTTACCTCGTTCTCTTCGATTCGACGTAAAATTTTTGTTACTCTAAGAACAAGTTCGGCAGCTTCCAAATTCGGTTGTCTTTGGACGGCACTCACTGTACCTCTGGCTATGAAGTCGCTTTGACAATACGCCTTGGCCAGTTCATCCATAGAACACGGTCTACAGTCTTCTTCCTCGTCATTAAATCGTCGCGACAATCCCTGTCGACTATCAATGTATCGTAATTCTAAATCATACTGCAATCTTGCATCATGTTCACCCGACACAAATTCCTCCGCTTCTATGTAAAGCGCTGCTGGCTGTTTCTTCGCGTGAAAACATCTATGCGAAGCTGTATCCTTGCCATCTCTCGGTGAATATATTGACCGAAGTTTGCCACGAGTTTCCAAATATACCCTTATCGGCCCTGAAATCTTGGTACACGTACGAAAACCAGATAATCTAAAAGGGCTGTCGTTACTACTCGAATGTGTGTTGTTCTTTTCGTAGACGTTGTGCTTTCCTTGATTCAACTCGTAATTAACTTTCGATACGAGCCCAGCCAAAACAGGGGGTGAGAGAACAATGCGTAAAGCTCCGCGCGGATACCGCCAAAGTATCGTTCCTCTGGAGCATCGTAGATACACTGGTCGAACACCACGGCCTCCACCTCCGCTATAACGTGATCAGACATGGAATTATTTGCGTTTTGATTATATGTATGTAGAATTATAACAATATTATATTTTAGTATGTTATATATTTTAGTTCATTATATATATATATATATTTCAAAGAAAGAAGATACTCGACTAACTTTACTAACTTTAGCTTTATCTCATTTTAATTCTTCTCTTTTCAATTTCTAGTTGAAATAGAATTACGAAAAATACAGCTCTTTCGCTTTTCACGATGATAATGGTTATTACCGACAATTGCAGTTGGCCACGTAATCACTTTTTCTTTTTGGTCTATTGTCTTTTTCTTTCTACTTGTGCATACATGCGTACATAGATATGTACAAATACATATACATAAGTGCACGTATACAAGTCACTCGTTCTCCCTTATAGAGGCGAAAGAGATGATAAATCGAATGCTCTAGTCTCATGCGATCTTTCTTAGGTTTGCTTGTGTTTGTTCGTTGGACGACGAAAACCGGTTTCGCCGTAAGTCGGGCGACTGGTTTCGCGAATAAAAGTTTATATG